TTATGCATGTACGTTATTTTTCTTGAGGTATGAGTGAATGAGTCCTGGCGAGAGTTGGATAGGCGACCCGCCGAACCCTGGGGTACGCCCTAGGGGGAGGTGGGGCAGTCACAATTTTGCATATCATTAGAATAAATAACTTCACACAATGCATATAATTGGTCTTGTATTCTATCAAAGTGAGAAGTTAATTCATCTAACATTTCCTCAACCCTGTCAAAACGGTTGGAGGTTGCATTTGCTAGCTTTTCTATGGCTAAATCAAATTGATTAGAAGAATGTTCTATAGCTAGCTCCCAAGATGCATTAGATTCATTAGCTAATGGTTCACTTTCTAATTCTCCAAGTAGAGGTGCATTAGCTAACCTTTCTATTGCCAATTCCCAAGGTGGTTTAGATTCAAATTGGACACATTTAGGTTGGTAATCGTAAAAAGATGAAGAATTACTATAAGTACATTGATTATCCCAACCATAAGCAGGAGAATTGCTCCAATTAGCACTATATTTATCAAAATAAGGATTGTAATGCTCTAATTCATCATAATAATCCACATTTTGTGCTTGTCTGCATGTATGAGTAGCATAATAACTTCCACACAAGTCACAAATCATTTGATTAGAATTAAAAGTATTAGCATTCCTCTTTTGCTCAATCTCATGCATAATGGTGCCCATTTGAACTTTTAACATTATAACATCAAATTTACCCTTTAAACACGTTAAACCATTTTTGAAAGGCATACCTTTAGTAATTTCTTGGTTACCTCTATTTAAGGAGCTTTGTGAGACTCCGGTTAGTCCTTAACTGTGATATTATGTGAATGATTCGGTTTTAGGGTTTTTAAATGTGATTTTGTTCTAAATATTCGGAAAATCCTAATTTAGGTTGTTATTAAAACCCTAACTGAGTAAATTTTTGGTTTTGAGCAAAACCCTAGTTTTCGTATTAATCATAAGTTTGTGTGGTAGTTAATCTTATGCATGTTGATATATGTTTTCATATGAGTAAATGTCGGATTTGATGCATTTTACATGGGTTAGAAAGAATTAGAAAGTTAGAAAACCCTGAACTAGAAAATTCTTAGTATTATAAGTTAATAGAAGTCTTAAGTTGGGTTTAAAACCCTAATTTTGCCTATGACAAGAAAGTTGTTGTTTAATTGTTTTCATGAAGAATAAGGTATGAACAAATGTGGATGATTAAGTTAGTGAGGTGATTAGTAGAGAAACTAAGTAAGATTAATTAGTTTGGATTAGATTAAGTTTAGATCCTATGGAGTAAAATGTAAGAAGTTCAAATGTTTAAGGACAAGAGTTGAACAAAATGCAAGTTGGAGTGTAAGGGCTAAGAGGCAATTGTGGAACTTTTATGTGATTGGTTGAGTGGGAAATATCTCTTAGGGTTGATGACTAAGCTTATGACTAAGCATAACTCTAGAATATACAAGAGAAACCAAGCTAATAAATAACAAAATAGCAAAAGAAAAGAGAGAGAGAGAGGGCCGAGAGGGAGAGGAAGAAAAAGAGAGAGAAAAGCTTTTGTTTCTTGCAGTTTTTTCATCAACCTTGAGTTTGGATCTTGGAGGAACAACTTGGAGCTTGAGTTTTGGAAGATCAACCTAAGAAACTTGCAACTAGAAGGTAAAAATCTCACTTGAAAACTTGGTAAAGTTAGGAATGATCTTTGATGGATTAAAATGATGTTTCATGGAGTTGTTTTAATGTATTGTTGCTTATGAGATACTTGTGAAGGAATTTCATGGTTTATTTTGTGGATTTATGGCTGTCTAAATTTCGGTCAAGCCAAGGGAATTTAGGGCTTCTTGTTTTAAACTTTGTTTAGTTAATTTGGTTAGTGATTAGACTTGATAATGGAACTTTTGGTGTGATTAATTCATTTGAATGGTGAATTCTTAATAAAATTAGGTTTGGTTATGAAACCCTAATGTAAAGGGGAAATTAGTTTGGTTTAGTTAGAACTTGGAAGGTTAGGGTTTGATTGGTTAGGGTTTTGAAGTGAGTGAAAAACTAGTGAAATTGGAATTTAGATTGTGGTTAGTGTTTGGTAAATTTTATGGTAATTTGGGGAAAAAATTTCGGACTATTAATAGGCCTTTTAGAAGCTGATATATGTATGATTATTTGGTATAAAATTGGTTAGAAAACTTGTATAAGAATCATAGCAATGAATCATGCGTTTGCGATGTTCAAAACCGGCAAAACGGGGAAACAGGCCAGCCCAGCATCTGAACTTTGACTCCATTTTTCTTTATGTTATGTATGGATTCTGGGTCTGCCTAAAACATAAAAGTTGTAGCTTCTTAAGTTCTTGTTTTGCCTACAAAATTTCAGGTCAAAAGGATTTGTGTAGCCTGAGTTATGGCCAAAACCCTCGTTCCTGTCCTAACCTCTGAGTTGTGTTACGTTTTTGGATTTTGCTTCTGACCATGCTCGGTTCGCCTTGATAACGTGCGAACTGGGTGTTGATACCTTCATAAGAAATGTAGATCTTGGTTTTAGCTTCGAAACGGTATAAAGCACGTCCAGATCCGAGCTCTGTAGCTCCAGTTATACCCAAAACAAGATTGAGTGTCAGAACTGCCTTTGAAGATTGGACAGTTCTGACAGGAACTTTGGGGCCGTTTTTCATCCTTCTCTGTATTGATTCAGGTTTTGTCCAAAACATAAAAGTTCTATCATTATGTCATAGCTTTCCAACGCCTTTGGAATTTCTTGATTTGGGTCTGTGAGCTGTGAGTTATGGTCCGGAAAACAGACCCTGTCTGTCACCTTAAAGTGCACAATTCTGGCACTGTTTTTCATAATTTTGACCTAGTTCCGTTAAGATCCGGTTTGAGGTGTCTTCATGAGAGTTATAGCCCTTTTTCTTAGCTTCGTAACGGTACCTCATGTACTTTGATCCGATACCCGTAGCCTGAAAGTTAATCAAAACAGTTCTAGATGCTAAATATGTCCATTTTCATTTTGCCGGCTATTCCCATTTCCGTATGCCGTTTCCACGCTTGCATGTGCCAATTTTGCCGTTTTGCTTGATTTATGCATTCTAGTAGCCATTTGTGGTATAATGTGATGCAATCTTCTATTCCAGACGGTGGTAAGCTAGACGGAGCCGGTGGGGTCTACTAACTATCACACGTGAAGTGATTTTTGCCCTTGTACTATTTTTGTATTTTGTGTAAGTATTCAGGCCGTTTCTCTATATAAGTTGCTATGTGTTTTGATGTCAATAAAAGGGTACTTAGGCGAAGGTGTACTTTATCGCACTCGACCTAAACCCTAATTTGTGCATATACTTGTACTTGATATATGTATCCGACTTGTTTGGGACTGAACCCCTTGAGTTTGTAGCTCAGGGTGATTTTTGTGAATTTGTGAAATATGATGAAGTTGTGGGCCCGACCTTGAGACCTAAATGGACTATTCGAGCCGGCCGGGGCTTGGTCGAAGCCAGTCCAACTTAGTCTTGAGGTCACCAAGTTTGTGAACCGAACTTGTGAACCAAGTTCAATTTCGTTTCGTTTGCTCGAGCCATTTTGTGAGGTGACTGGCCAGTGAGGGTGATAAGGTGTACGGTGGGAGTACAAGTGGGGTTCTACGGACCATTATTTGTGTCGACGGAGTGTCGACAGGAGGTCACACGTGGCACATGACTTGGCTTTGGAGTCAACTTGTATCCTTAACTTGTGTTGTTACTTTTATATTTTCAATTTGACATCTTTGTGACGTAATTGTTCGCCTTAATGTGGAATTTATGATTTTACCCCTGTTTACTTACTAAGCTTATAGCTTACCCCTTTCCCTTTTATTTTCCTTAACAGGGGCCGATGCGGGGAGCTTTTAGCACTAGCACTAGTATAGATAATTTTAATTCGTCATAGTTGAACAATTAAGACGTTCCTCCTTGTTTTGATAGCCTGTTTAAGAACCCTTCTTTAGGTCTACTTTATGGTTTTGGTTTTTGTCATAGGGTAATGTGGTAGTCTGAATATCTACTTTTGAGGATGTAAATAGAATTTTTTTTGGGATTGTAAATATTGTGTATAGTACCCTTTTGGTTTATATCGGTTTATGTAGTTTTATTTATTATGTGTTTTCGAGTCCTGGCGCGAGCTAGGCAGACGGTCCGCTAAACCCATTGGTATGCCTCTAGGTCCGGTGGGGCCGTCACAAGCTTTGCATTTGGTAACCATCCATTGCTAATCTTTCATTTCTCAAGCATTGTCCTCCAAATTGACCTACCCTCCTCATTACCTAAAATTACTTTTAAACAACTTAAGAGCAAAATTAGTAAGAAGAATAGGTGATAAAACACATACACACATAAAACACTAAAATAACAGAAAATAACATTCATACCATAGCTAATAATATGTCTAAATTAATAAAGTTGCTCTTCACACCGATATTGCCAAATCTTCCCCGGCAACGGCGCCAAAAACTTGACGAGTTTTTTAACATACGTACAAGTTAAAATCCGATTTACACCCGTTTGACTGCAAGTGTACAGGTCAAATTAGTAGTTTAGGGCATGTATTGGATTGATCCCACGAGGAAGATTGAACAATTACCGGCACTACTCAAGCTTCTCTATTATTTAGACAATCAATGAATTATAAGAAATAAAACATGCTAAACTTATGTAAGAAAATAACAAATGAAAGCTCCTTAGGTTATGGTATCCCTAACTACTCATGCAAGTGCTATATTTGGATCATTAAGTACTACTATCTAGGCTAGTTATGGTGTAATTTCCTTATACATATGAATCCTACTTTCGTAGTGAATCAATTATACTTATAACTAATCCATACCTATTCTCATGGTTATGAAATTTGACGCACCTCCAAGACCCAAAGACCAAGAATGGAGTTAAATCTCCCTTCAATTATACTATTTTGATTTCCAAATCTGTTGATGGTAGGTACAATTCAATTGGAATGCGACAATAAGGTTTTAGTTCACATGTTTTAGTAGTGTTCACGCCTGAATGTTTTGCAACCATTCCAATCCGTGCAATGTGCGTGTTGTGTTGTGGAAAGCATCAGCTATATATGCTAGTATTAATAGTTTAAACCGTGAAAATGAAAGCAAAAGATGAGGGGCTGGATGAAAATGAAAATTTTGAAATTCAGCTAATGGTGGATTTTTTTTATCATATATTACCTCAATAAGAAAAGGCACAATATCTGGTAAACCGCTCTAACTTAATTGATAGACAACAAGCTACTTTTATTACATTGAATACCTTTTTATTTAAAAAAAAAATCACCTATAAATGATGGAGGGTTAGGCATAGACACTGACCTGTTTACATCAAACACCTTACTTATTTCTCAGGACTTGCAACCTCGACATTATTCCAGTAACAAATGATGCATATATGAAAGAAAACAACGGAAACAAATGCAATGTGCAATAAACTTAATCAACCAGAAATTTTGGACATCCAATCTTTTATCTCCAATAAAACTCTGTTTCCAGCTCTTACAAGGGTCATTTATGAAAAAGCCGTTATGGTCTCCTTCAATCTCCACATATTGGACTTCCTTCCCGGCTTCCTTCAACCTTCTTGCGTAGTTCTCGACCCTATCTCTTGGGAGCTCAATTCCTCCGGTAATTACCTGCACTGGGTCAAGCATGACAGATTCAAGATTTTGGCTAAAAGTGCCGAAGGGGTTAGCTAGGGGATGGTCCGCATTTTTCCCTTGTGACAAGGATAGCCTCCAAAATTTATCGTGGAGATTCAATCAGGTAAACACATGTAATCTGATCAAGCATGAAAAATAGTACTTCCTTTGTCCCATAAAATTTGTCGTTTTTAGAAGAACGTGCAATTTATGTATAGTGACATAAGTAGAAAAGAGAATTTTTACTTTTCCCTTATATCCTTAATGGCAGACCATCTTTTATTTGATGTATTAATAATTATGGAGAATCAATGGTGGGTCATAAGAAAAGTAAAAATAAAATTTTATTGAAAAAAGATGAATTGACTTTTCGAAAATGACAATTAATTTGGAATAAGAAAAAGTAACAAATATGACAAATTTTATGGGAGGGAGGAGGTACTATATAATTGGCGAAGTACATCTAATGATGCGTGTCAGGAGTACTTTCACGTGTAATTGTAGTATATGGGAATAATAGAGCACACCTCTTTGTATGATGTTTTCTGCTACTTTTACTTATGACATTATTCCGGCTGCACGGGCGGAGGGTTGGAGGAGGGCGAGGGAAGAGGCTAGTAACGGTTAATTTTACTTTGAACTATTAAATTATAGATGCATTCTCACTTTAGCTTTTTAATTTTTGAGCATCATTTGCTTACTATAATATTTGAATTATCTGTGTATTTGCTTACTATAATATGAGAATTGTCAATATCTCTAAAATTTGTATATAGTAGATGTTGAGTGTGTCTTTGTATTCCACATTAAAAATTTTACAAATAAATCTCCTCCCATGGTGGTTATAAATATAGTGGATTTAAGTGAATTTAAATGTGCTAATGGCACTAGTCCAAGTGCAGTATGCACCAGTTCAAGAGAATTTTAGGGAACCAACGCCTTAGTGTGAGAGGGGTTTTGATTAGGTATCAAACTAAAAGAACAAGTTATGGATCTTTGGACTGTTAAATATTTTGTGCTATTTAGACCGTTTTGTGTTTTCACTTTTACATGCCTTTTGGGCCTTGGAATTATTTCTTAGGCACTGTACTCTCTCATTTGTACTCTCTTTCTATTATAGTAAATTAGCTACCCTTTCTCTTTTGTACTCTCTTTCTATTATAGTAAATCAGTTATCCTTTCACCCATGGACGTAGGTCAGTTCGACCAAACCACGTAAAATTTTGTGTTTTTCTGTTTGACTTATTTGATTTGTTATTGTCTTTATTGGATTGCCAAAAATCATATTATTCTCTTTGATCAATTTCATGGGACCAAACCTAAAAATTAGTATCAGAGCTTCAGGTTTCGGCTTCAAGTTCTGGGTTTTAGGTTTTGGGTTCAAGTTTTGGGTTCTTGATGACAATAACAAACTATCAATATCAATTCTGGTACGATGATTTAGCATTACAGAGCGTCAAGAAAAATCCTTCATTGGAGTTCAGTTGGGTTTTGAAGAAAAGCTAATTGATCCATTGGAGTTCATTAAGGATTTTATGGAGAAGGTGGAGTAAGATTACTATGTCAGTGCTTTTAGCCCATTGGGATCTGTTGAACCTTTTATGAGTCTTAATCCGTTGGAACCTGTTGAGTCTTTTGCATCTTGATTCGTTGGTGGTAGTTCGGTGGGGTCTGTTGCGACTTTGGTGGTTCGTTGGAATCCATTGGAACTTATATAGAGAAGGTGGAGTTTGTTTTCTATTTGTTTGCTATTTATCGATGTTGGATACACGCCAAGGTGAAGATTTGTTCAATGTGTCTTTGTATACCACATCGAGAATTTAACAAAGAAGTCTCTCCTCATGGTGGTTATAAATATAATGGGTTTAAATCAATTTAACTGTACTAAGGGAACTAATCCAAGTGCCGTATGCACTATGATGCAATCCAAGGTTCAAGTCCAAACTCAAAGGTTATTTCACTTGTTCGTGTCAAGCACAAGTTGGATTGCTCATGCGACAACACCTTCATACTCAAGCTATTCAAATGGAAGGAAGTAAAGGAAAAACTGCCGGATGAAGTTTGAAAACAAAGTTGGTCATTGGAGTAATTTATTTCCTTGTTATTGGTCAGCATTATTAAAGTGTTTAAGTATTTATTTTCATTGTTTCTTATTAGCTACAATTAATGGCCAGCTTCGTTGCTCAATAAGGCCGATTGGTTTCCTAGTCAAAGTAGGATTGTTTTTACTTAAGTCATTCCATGTTGTTTACAATTTAGGGTTTTAAGGCTATAAATAGCCTTGTCTTGTAAATGTTTGGGGGGGGGGTTGATTTTTTTTTTTTTTCAAATGATGAAGCAAATTCTAACAAGATAAGACGACAAAGAGACAACCAACAAACAATGATTCAAGACATAAGACAAAAAAAACACGGCTGGACAGCAAGGATTATTAAACGACACAAGCAAATTATGAGGAAGATCGACAAACAGCAAGACAATTAACTCAAACGACAAACAAAACTTAAAGAAAACAACAAGAAGTTGACACAAACAACCAAAAAAAAAAACTTATATTACCTGGTATGTCAACCAGCTCTGATAGCTAGATGACACAAATCCCGCCAAAAAAGAAACCCGTATTTCACAAGCCCTAGACTTAGATGATTTCCCAAAGTTTGAGTAGCGGAAAGAATCCCTAGACCTCTCTAATCCCCGAGTTGTGATCTCACAACTAATGAATTAGCAGACTCGATTTTGGTAGAAGGCACCACAATCAAGTGCGTTTCTTGATTGATAAAGCCAATGAACACTAGAGCCTAACTAAGTATTCAAAAGAAGCTTGCAACAAGCCTTAAGAGAAAAACTCCCAAATTTTTTTATCAAAAACAAAATCAGCCGCCCTAAGACGTTTACAAGACAAGGCTATTTATAGCCTTAAAACCCTAAATCCTAAACTAACATGAAATAACTTAAGTAAAAACAATCCTACCTTGACTAGGAAACCAATTGGCCTTATTGAGCAACAAAGCTGGCCGTTAATTTTAGCTACTAAGAAATAATGAAAATAAATACTTAAACACTTTAATAACGCTGACCAATAACAAGGAAATAAATGACTCCAACGACCAACTTTGTCTTCAAATTTCATCCGGCGGTTTTTCCTTTACTTCCTTCCATTTGAATAGCTTGAGCATGAAGCTGTTGTCGCATGCAATCCAACTTGAGCTTGACGTGAACAAGAGAAATAACCTTTGACCTTGGATTGCATCACACTAATCAAAGAGAGTTTCAGAGCGTCCACGCTCCAATTTGAGAGGATTTTCGATTAGGCATCAAACCAAAAGAACAAGTTATAGGCCTTTGGGCCATTAACACTACAAGAAATTTGGCCTTTTGTGACAATACAAAGTCATCACTAAAAATCCAAAAGTCGTCATTATATGAATATAGTGACGACTTTTCCCATTGTCACATCGTTGTCACTAATTCTATGTCACAAATAGGTACCTGTGACAACCTATATAAAGTCGTCACTAAATATTAATATTTAATGACGAAGAATAAGTCGTCACTAATGAATAGTTTTCTGTGACGACATTTCTTGTCACTGTTGCAAAAATTTTTCTGTCATAAAAGATAGCAAAAGTCGTCACAAATGTGGACCTGCACAGTGACGACTTGAACTTGTCACTCTCACTCCTAGTATTCTGTGACAAGAATGTTCGTCACTTACAAATTTGTCTCCAACAGCTGCAATTGTTCATTCCAAATATAACATTGCCATGGCTCTCGTTCTGATAGTTATAGCCAAAAAAATTAAATTTGGCTAAGAGTGACATCTTTTGGGGAGGTTGTCACTGAATTTTTTTCTAAAGGAGTTGAAATTAACCGATACAAATATAGTATTGCCATGCCATTTTCAACAAATATAACAAAACATTCAATATGACAAAAGGCAAAACCAACATAGAATATATGCCACAAATTCATATATTTGGCCATAACACATCTCCAAATTAGTCAAAACAGAAGTGAACCACAAATGTTGGGAATATAGTAATCCCACATAATCAGTTGTAAGTTCTAATGGCCAATACATATCCTTCCCAAAAGATAGAATACTAGATTTTGCCACTAAAGCATAGACTACACAGCTGTGGTCAGATTTTGAGCATCTCTTGCAGCACGAGCATCAGTCTTCTCACGATCAAAATATGAAGTTAGACTGCATTGAAAATAAACTTTTCTTTAGAGTTTCAGCATATCCAACTACTGTGAACTTAAGTAAAAAAAAATCAGTCAAGCTATGTTAGTGCACTCAATAATAACCTGAATAATAAGAATGTGCATGTGCTTTGTTAGTGCACTCAATACAAGCTAACACTCTGTTTTGTAGAAAAGAATCCAATACTATCAACTATTTCCAGGAACTCCATTTAACTTGACCAATTGTTTTTCCAATAAATCATCCTCAAGTGCTTAAGGTCTCACTAAGATACTAGTTTCAATTCACCAAGCATACATCAAAACCCTTCCTTATTCAAAGGCTTATACTTCAAGAGGAAAACAGAGATGCAATATAACAGCATTGCCAATTGCAGATTTCAGCCTTATGTACAGAAGGTCTTCTCTTTCTTCCAATAGCTAACTTCATCCAGCTTGCCTTGTGGCACTGGTTCATATTTCCATTTGAATTTCTATTCATGGCTTTGGTTTGTGTGGATTCTATACACTAGGTGCAACAAAAATTACTAAAATTTGCAAAGATATATATTGTGGAAAGAATGACAACTCACTTTATGATCTACATCTGTGTTATGGCTCAACCATGCATAGGCCTCTTTGAAGTCATAAAAAATGCGAAGGCCATCATGAGATTGACTTGTTAGCACTATGAAGGGTATTGAACATGCTTCTGCTGCTGCCCAGACACAATGAACCTACATGAAAAATCATCTGTAAACAGTGAAGAGCTCAACCAGGAAGCCAAAGAACAACATGGAAATCCAGCATAAGGACAAAAAACTACAACCAAACTTTTAAGTGTTGCTTTCATCTCAATCTTTTTGCGAACTTTTCAGAAAGCACTCACAGGTTATATTACAGTATTTGGAGTTAAATTTGCAAAAAATGTGTAATTCAGAATGGCACGACTAAAAGAAAGGTCTAAATATTACATTGACAAGACCTTTTTATTGTGGGAAAAAATGCTACCACATTCATAACAGCTACAATTGGGTTTTTCTCAGTCATGAGCAGCAAACTAGTAACAAACAAAAAGATAAAAGAATTCCTCTTTTACTAGACCAAATTAAGCATACATACCACATAGAACGCAACCAACAAAACTAGTAAAAATATAGCAATGACAGATGCTTCAACAAGTAAAACCAAAGACCTTCTCTAATCAGATGTAAAAATTTCTGATGTACTAGGCAACTGAAATTTGAGCGAATGAGTAAGAACATCAAAAGCTCCTGAAAGAGAAATTCCAGGCATTTTGCATACTGCTGGACCAAGTACAAGCATTAGTGGCACCTGTAACAGCAAAAGAGAACGTTGCTCAACATAGTGGAAGCCAAGAGAGAATAGTATTAAGCTTACATATTTCAAATTAATCTCACCATGACACCTGAAAAATATACTAATGTAACTATGTAAAGGATGCTAAAGGAGCCTGCATCAGAAAGTGGCAAAAAGCATGCCCGCAATTGCAAACAAGATAGATTGGATATGAGTAGCCACTCCACTAGAGAGAACTATATGTATAAAGTTAAAGCATCAAATTTCAAGTTTGGTTACTTCTTTTGCCTTGAAACTACTTAGATAGATTCCAAGCAAATCATGAACTTGCAACTAGAATTCGACAGACAGAAGAGACTCACGGATCAAGCAGATTTAGACTACGCCCACTCCAACCCTTAGTTGGGCTGGAGGCTACTAATGCTATAAGTACAGTCACCATGGCACAACAAATTACCCTGAAATTTGAATGACAAGTAATTAAGTCAACCAAAAAATTTTTATGAAACTCTTAGCTACTACTTACACAATATAACAGCAAGCAAATTTCTTTACAAACTACAAGTAAAGGCACTTACAGGCCAACTGAAAACACAAGCGTAACAGCCACTTTTAACATTCCTAGTGACAGAATCCCTTTAATATGGTAAACAAGAGCTACAACATGAATAATAATAAACACTTGTACATGCCCAAGAATGGAAAAGTAAAATTAGAGATTAAGAGCAACATAAGGCATAAATTTAAAAAGATTGAGAAGCATAAAAAAAGTAAAAGCGAATCCCTGACTACAGTAATAGCGAATGAGAAAGCAAGAATGGCAGAAAAACCAGCCAGTTGGAACTAACCAAAAATGAAGCAAAATGCTCGGATGCCATGACCGGATTAAAGCCCAGAACAGGGACCAAAGCAGCCAACAATGTTCCCAAGACAACTTATATTTGAAATTACAAAGACATTAGTACAAGGATGAGTAGAATAACAGCGTTAAAGAGGCATATTTATCTTAAAGACATTACTAATTCAATATAAATCAAAACAGATTTGGACAATACTACAACCAGACATAAAAACCGATAATACAGCCCAAACCAAAACCATAGAAACAACTAAAAAGCTGGAGATTGATGCCAAGGGTAAAAATAAAGACATAAAATAATAGGTCACTTACCATAAGAAATTGTGGATTCAACATATCTGGAGTTCAATTCAAACTCCTCTGCCACTTCAAATACGCTAACAAACATGTTTCAAGAGCAAATTACCAACTGTGGTAGCAATCACAATGGTCAAACAAACTAGAGAACGGATAATCCATAAGTCCAGCAATTGAAAAGAAATATGGCTCGCTATGGCTCTAAAACCCTGGTAAGGACGATGATCAATGCAATAAAGGTAAACAGCAAAAGAGAGATAACAAAAATTTCGAAGGTAAAATCCTTCAATGTCTTAGTAATTCAATTTCATCTCCTAACGGCAATTAGAGTTTTCCGCTGGTAGATGAATATATCAAAACTGCCTTTGACATTGACAATTTCCACTTTGGAGTGCATAAAATTAAAACGCAGATACAGGTACATCAGATTTCATAAATCTAGCACTTCGACTCACTTACTAAACCAATAACCAAAACAATTAAAAAAAACTCCAAATCGACTATACTAATAATATTTCTTAAGCAGTAGACCAATCGCACATTTAACATTTTTCCTCCGAGAGAGAGAGAGAGAAGGTCCTTTCCATAATCGATATTAAATTATTCATCCACATCACCTACCTACTATGTGCGTACAATAATTCCCCATCCAGACACATAACAGAATATACCTGCTTGAGTTCAGGCCTAGACAAATTGGACATGGCGAAAATTTTCATAGCATCATTGCCAGTCAAGCAGCTATCGCCGTCTGCACAAAAGGAAAAGTAGAATGCTAAGTAAATAAATCTATAAGAAAGAAAGAAAAGAAAAAAAAAAAGAAAGAAAGAAAGAACATAGTTAACGATTAATTGGAAGGGAAGAACAGCAACTGAATTAATTTGAACGAAAAAGTTATGACTAAAAAAAGAAGGAAAACCTGAGTCGGCGAAGTTGAACCAATACTCAAGATTTAAGTGGAAAATTTGACCCATAAACTCAAGATTCAGTCTATCCGACCTACATTTGACAAAAAAATATCGAAATTAGATGGAAAATATTGAGATTACATACCTCAAATTATGCCTTCACTCCCTTAGCTCTTGTTTTCCTTAAGATTCAGTCTTCGAACTCTGGCTTTCCCCCAAAATTCACGGCCAATTTTCTGTGTTCTTGCCAGCAAGCAAGTGCAGCACCAATCTAGGGATTTTTGCTATTTGCGAGGTCACTAAAGTTGCCCAAATCCTTTGGGTAGCTCAAATTAGGGATGAAAAAGGTGATTTAAAGTGATTTTGTGGATAATTTCAGCAAGATGACAGTAAAGCATAAGAAGAAATGGAGAAGATGATAATGTCCGAAACTTTCAACGAGAGAGAAAGAAAATGTGGTACGAAAATTTTCAACGAGAAAGAAGAAATGATAAGTGTTGTGAGTGTTTTAGTTTAACTCTTGCCAAAACGACGTCGTTTCTATCTCATTTTGTTCACCCCGCCTCTACACCTTGAATTTTCAGCTTCACGCTTCCATTTTAACTTAGCACAAAAAGTAACGCTTTCATTCTTTTTTGTACAAACTATTTGAACCTTTCTTTATAAAAATAACGCCTTCTCTAATATCTCTTTTTTTTTCCCATCTATGTGTAATTAAGATTGTTTATTATTTTGAACTTTTTTAACTCACAAGTTGTATTAAAACTTTATTTGTAATATTAAAACTTTAGAATATGAAATTTTAATATTTTTGGATTTTTTTTTACTAACATAGGATTTTTTTTGGATCTCTATGACAAAATAATGTTCAAAAACTAAAAATTTTATTAAATAGGATTTTCTTAAAAATTTTATTAATGTTCAAAATAATGTTTATTGAATTTTTTTCTTTTTTTTTATTAACATAGGTTTTTTACTAAATTTTGAAATTTTATTTTTACCGAGCAGCTCAGCAAAGGTCGAAAACTTGAATCAAAGCATCTCGACATTAGGATCTCTACCAAAAATAATGTTCAAAAACTAAAAGGCTTATTACAAATATGTTTATGATTCAAAAAAAGATCTTTAAAGGCAAATATTTTTGTTATCAATTTAATAATGTTATCAATTATGCACGAAGTGTGGTCTGACAAGATCAAACAATCTGTTTAGTTGATCAAATAACCAAAATGGTTTACTAATACATATATGAAACACTAAATCTATTTGATACAAGTACTGATTCATTAACCATAGATCCAATTTGATTATTGTAAATTGTAATACATAACAAACTCCAGTCATGCAATTGTCAAGATTTTTACTTAATTTCATATTAAATTTTATTATTCTCTCCGCTTATTATTTTCACACTATGTTAATCAGTAATTTCCTATATATTGTCAAGAGAACTAAATAATGAATTCATAATATTTTTTAAATTTATAACTAGCTATTGGTTAAGTTTGGAATAATTAAAAAATAGGTAAACATCTTTTTTTACAATACCTTCCTCATTTTGCTAATGATGAACATAACCTAATGTGTAAAAGCATAGGGTGCCATAATAGAATTAATACAACCTTTCTTTATCGCATATGAGGCTAAATTGCAAAAGACACTAGTGTCATGGTAGAGTTAATGAGATTAGTTTACCAAATATGGGCCTAAAATATAAAAGTTCAGTGAAATAACATAATTAATTAAATTTATTTACAACACATGGGCCATATCAAAAAATTAATGTGGTATATGGGGCTAAAATGTAAAATTTAGGGTGTCATAGTAGAATTAATAAAATTTATTTATAACACATGGGCCATATTGAAAAAATTAAGGTGGTATATGGGGTCAAAAAGCAAAAGTTAGGGTGCCATAATAGAATTAATAAATTTTTTTTACAACATATGGGTCATATTGAAAATATTAGGGTGATATAGTAGAATTAGTGAAAGTGGGATGAGAATAAACGCTTTGTACAGTGACGACTACTTGTTGTCACTAATTTAGAACGTATCACCATACTGTGACGATATTAAAAAGTTGTCACTGAAATTGGTCCTACAGTGACAACGTCTTTTCCAGTCGTCACAATGGTGATCTCCCGCCAGACTGCATAGTTGCGCGCCATCCATACTGTGACGACTTATCCCTTGTTGTCACTGTTGACGGGTGAACCCACGATCAAGCATGACGACTTTTAGTGTCGTCACTAAAGTCTTCAATTGTGACAAGTTTCTATGTTGTCACAGAGAATGTTGTCACAAAAGGCCAAATTTCTTGTAGTGTAAGTATTTTGTGTTATTTAGATTCTTTTGTAGTTTGAGTTTTGGATGCCTTTTGTACTCTCTTTATGTTATAGTAAATTTGCTTACCCCTTTGCCGGTGAACGTAGGTTAGTTCAACCGAACCATGTAAAATTCTGTGATTCTCTGTTTGATTTATTTGATTTGTTATTGTCTTTACTGGATTGCTAATAACTATATTATCCTTGTTGCTCAATTTCTTGGGATCAGACCTAACAGTAGAATATCTATTTTCTATTAATTAATTATGCACCTGACATGCACTAGTGAACCTTCAGATTTTGCATAATATTTCTTTCAAATATTTCTTACTTCAACCAGAAAAGAAGTGCATGAAGTTATACATAAGACTGAACTTGTGTCAACTTCTATATAACTTTGTAGCTACGAGTAATAACTTTAGCAAATTTGTTTCTAACTAGGTTCTAACTACTGTACAATACATACATTCATGAGGCTGCTATACTAAATTTTGCACTATATTCGCATATGCTATGGAACATTGATCAGCGCTATAAAATTGGATTTGGAGTTAATTGAACATTTAAGCGTCACGCTAGTTACAATAGTACCTATCAAGAATCTCCACATTAAAGAGTGGTTCAGGCATCCCCTCTGCTTCAGACTTGGTTCTCAGTGTGCCACCAAAGAATGGTGCCATCAGCACATAACCACGTACACAAACAGGGGCTAACACCAGCGAACCAGGCCCATGCTGAACGGCCAAATTGTGAGCCATATAGCCACCGGAAGAGTCGCCAATTATATAAAACTGATCAAAGTCAACCACCCGATCATGCAACCATGTATCATATTCATGACCAGGAAGCCTATCTGAGATTGCTTGAGCTTGAAGCCACTTGAGAGAAGCTACTGCATCATCCATTGCAGCGGGAAGTCTATGCTCCGGGGCCAACCTGTAGTCTGGTGCAACTACAAGGGCTTGTAGTCCCGAAGCTAGGCGTAGGCAGGCGTTATGATTGTTAGGCCCTGTAAATGAGCCCACACAGAAGCCTCTGCCGTGAAGGAAATAAACAACTGGTAGTTTTATGGAAGGATTGGCTGTGTTTACAGGCTTATAGAGGCGGAGATAAAGGTTGTTTTGGCTGTCAAATTGACAATCTTTCTGGACAATAGAATCGTCTTCATGTATTGGGATATTGTGTTGGAAAATTAGTTTGTACTATGAAAATTAATCATGACTTGTGACATGATTTTTGAATGTCATGTCTAGAAGATTGATTTATGCATTTCCTTCAAAATTCATTGATACATTAATCTATCTTTCAAGTTCATTAGTTGATTCATGGAACCACTTAATTCATGTACATGGAACCACTCAATTCATGTACTTGAAGTACTAAATTCATGAATGGACATTAAGTGAAGATACATTGATGAATCTTTTCAAAGTCATTAGTTCATTTATGGAACTACTCAATTCATCAACTTGAAGTACTAAATTCTAAATAGACATTAAGTGAAGTTCATGTACTTTTGCTCTTATATTGCCTATAAATAGAGGTAGTCTAACCTCTCTTGTGTCAACTTTTGTTTAAGTATCTTAAAATTGCAAATCCAACTTCTTGTATCTCTTTCTTGTGAAAACTAAACTTAAACTTGCAATAGGCTAGTTTTCATTTCCATTGTATCCTAGAGGTAAATTGCTATTTCAACCCGGTTAGCAAGATAGTGGGGGCAAATAACACTTTAAGGAGAGTAATCACACGTTTTGGAAACTCTCTTGAATTCCTTAAAATTAGTTTAGTTTAGTTCTTGAAATTATTTTTGTAATAGCTCTATAGTAGGTCCCATACACTTGTAATCCCTATATTCTCCAACAATCTTAAGGTGTTATTTAAGTTTGGTATGGAGTCTACTCGATAATCAATTATCAAGGTGATGAATCAAGACTTTGTCAAGTTGGACCGTTTGAATGGAATGGAACCATTTCTATAAGTGGAATGATAAGATGATCTTCTTCTTGATAGCTTTGAAGGTGGTATATGTGTTGAACCCGGATCTTCTAGAAATTCCTCCTCCAAAGGATGATGATTCAGAGGCTTTAAAGAGACAAAGGAAGAAAAATTTTTGCAGGTTGCTATTCAACAACTATTTTGTTTCTGAAAAATCCATTCGCAGCCACAAATTCTTGCCAAATTGAAAAACTGAATTAACAGACAATAACGAACAGATCTCCAGTCTTCGATTTTCGGGAATTAGGACAGAAGTAGAGAATGGTCATATGATAATTTACCTGCTGCCCTGAACATCTATCAAATTGATGTTTGGGGAACTTTTTTTGGCTTTAGGATTTCAAATCCACCCCAATAGAGACATTTCTGCAGGCTAAATTAAGGATTTCAATTCCATCAAAAGATAGCGTCATTTGAAATTCGCTCTCCTTTCCTAAGCTAAGCTATCTCTTCCAGAACAACCCGCAAACTATCTCTTCCAAAACAATTTCCTCTGCGAAAAAGAAAGGTCGAACTTCCTCAGTCTCTCCACTTCGACCTCGTGCCTCTCTGATTCATTTCAGGTCTCGTCCTCTTGATCTCTTTCATCTCTTCCTCACCATGGGATTCCCTCGTGAGAAACTAGGGCTAGTTTTTCAGATATTATTTGCAAATTATTTACTAAATCTTTTAAAATCTAGGTCTATTATACTAATTAAAAATAAAATTTGGTTTATTTCTTCTGTTAATTTGTTTGTGATTCTTCCCTACGATTTATGAGCACTTCTTCTTGCCCCAAATTGTTATTGGAAGTGATCATTTGAAACTAAATACCAAACAGTTTTGTGCGAGGGTGCTGTTATAAGCCCTTAGTCTTGACACTTGTATTATAACGCTTTTCGATAATGTGATGTCTTCAAAACCAGATTTGTCTGGACTGGTTAGTTCAACTAGTATAATTGAGAACTCTTCTTTGCACATTCCAGTTCATAGCCAAAAAATGTGTTGTTCAACAGACAAAAATGGGCTAAAATAAATAACAAATGAGAGAGTGAGGAAGTGAGAACTAAAGGGAAAACTTAAGTTGATATTTGATGGTCAGGTATAAATAAAAAGTTGGCCATTTGCGGCACTTCTAGTGCAGCTGATTGCAATTCCACTGCAAATATGCGATTAATTTGCAATTCTATGGAAATCTTGGTGCTTGATGGTTAGAAACATGTGTGAAATGTTGGTGGATTTTCCAAGCTTCCAAATCGTTCCCCTTCTCACAATGTGGACTGGGAGGAGAAGTTAGGGACTAAGTAAGAAAAGGAATGGGATGACAAGCACTTGGTGCGTATTCAATTGCTGATGTTAGATCTCATTCTTTGGCTGTAATTGTATGTCAAATCTTTTGACATGTACAAGTTATTTTTAGTTCAAGGAGCGGAAGCAGTTTTCTCTATTTTCTTGATGAAAAAGTCTGAAAAAAGTTTTAAAAGAAGGCCAAAAAAATGATTAAAAGGAAAAACTTTTACATTATTCAGTTTTCCAGATAGAAGACTCGTTTGAAATTGTGCTTTCTTTGTATTTCTTTAGCACTAACTCAGGATTCTTTATGCCAATTGTGAGTTGAGTCATCCTTTGCACCAACGTTGGAATTAGTTTATAGAATCTGCATGAACATTGGGGAAAAAAATGCACTAAATTGCATTGGGATCTTTGAAGTCATACTAGTTGCTTAGACGTTAAGTTGGAGTTACTCGCAGATATACCAAGAGAGATGAAATTAGGAACTTCATCTAATTAAATAACCAACATCTGGATAAGTTGTATGGAATACATGCACGCAAATTGAGAGAAGAAAGGTAGACCTATGTTGCTTTGGCCAGCGGAATGTTTTCAGTTTCTGTGGTTGCATAACTATCAAACTGCCAGCTATCAAACTGGAATGTCTGGTATACTTGGACCAAGGAAATTAAAAACTTAATCAATGCTTGGACCATATGTGGATGTCATATTTGGAAGGCTTGATGTTAATTGATACAGAACGGGTTTCTATTCAATTTCGGACCAAATGGAACGTGCAAAGGAATGGACAAAAGAAGGTTTTTGAAGCCTTGTTCGGCTGTTCGCTGCTAAGGGTCCGCAAGCAGATCCTACATTGGCCAAACGCGGATCCAATCCAAAGTAGGACCAACTCTTTGCTGATCTTGCAGCATGGATCCGGCTCTCAAGGCAATGGATCTCCGTGCAAATCCTGGCATTGAGAAGATGCCTCAGATCTCTGCACCCTGGATCTATAGCCTTCCCTAATGGATTCGCGGATCTGTGTCATGGATAGACACGACTTTTATTTCATTTTAATATTTTTGGGGTATTTCCCCTCTTTTCTAAAATAAATGTTTATAACCTATAAATAGGCATCGTTAGGGTTATTTTTTTCATTCAACTATAAACTTTAATCAGACTTTCATTGGAAATTCCAATAGATTGAGAGATTTCTTTCATTTCTTGGAATCTGTCAGGAAATTGTTTTTGAAACTTTTTCCTTTGGGCTATGCATTTGTACCTTTAATCATGTTTTGCTAATCCCTTTTTTTAATTCATCAACATTATGCAATGCATTTTAAACTATTAAACCAGAATTGTGCTGTTAAAATACTAGAATTAGAACTTTTGGCTGCTCAAACCTAAAAGGTTTGCACAAGTTATATGCACACTGTGATGCTTTTTATACAACTATACTTGATTATCATGTCAATATTTGCGTACTTGTCTCTGTCCATGATAATATCCTCATTTGCTTCCAGGGTACGTTTCTGCATCTTCTAGCAAATATTATTCTTTTTTTTTTCCCAACGGTATTCTTTTTATATATATATTGAACTTGATAATACAAGATGTCAGTTACAAAAGTGGACATTGGTCCTATATATTATTCTCCCGTATACTCTCTTTGAGCCACAGTGGGAAACTTTGTTTTCATATTACATTGGAAACAAGTTCAGTTGCAAATTGTGCCATTTTACGAGCACATCTATTTCCATCTCTATACACAAAAGAAAAAGTACAGTACTGGAACATGTCACTCAATTGTCCTATATCTTCCATTATGGTGGCTATTGGTGATTCCTCCATGCATCTCTTGTGGATTTTTTCAGTGATAGCTTTGCAATCAGATTGCACCTCTATTCTTTGCCACCCAACTTCGCTAGCCATTACCAGTCCCTGTCGGATTGCATCTGCTTCTTCTAATTCTGCTCCCCAGCTGCTATACTTTCTGATACCTCTGGCTTCAACAAGGTTTCCATAATTGTCTCTTGCTATATATCATTCCTAACCCTGGTCCTGCTAACGTAGTAGGGACAGCTGCATCAGTGTTGATCATGACTACGCCTGCATCTAGCAAAAATTATTCTGGGCTAACATTTTGTAGTTTGGTCAATCTTTTTGTCCCTTGGTGCATAGTCTCTCTATTCGTTATTCAGTTTGAGCTTGCATTGCTCGGTAAGCGTGAACTGAATGATAAAATAATGCTTTTCCTTCGCCCTTACAATAAGTGTATGCAGAAAACTGACCTACCCAAAAACTGCCTGCAGAAAACTTGAATTCTGTATGTAAATATTTCTTGATATAATGTAGAGCATATTCTGAACCACTACATTAGATTGAAATAGGTAAACGGTATGACACGTCAAAGAAAAAACTTGCAGGCCAAAGTATTCTTTGGCAAACAACAAGAGGCCACAAGCAGAAAAGGTATAATTTACTTAGTGTTGTGTTAAATGAGTATTTTGGCATGTAACTTTGAAATAAAATTGTCCCAGCAAATTGCTAATTGGCTTGGAAATTTGCCTACAAGAAAATTTTGAAAAGCAGAAATGTCTTATTTTGCGCATTCAATTTATGATGGTCAGAATCCTTGAATCTCATTTTAGAATTTTGTGCATTGTGTCAAGTCTCTGACTATATAGGAGAACCTTGGTCCTTAGAGTCCCTTACTAGAAACGGCACTTACCTGGGATTTACTCATTATGGAGAAATTCTAGACATCTCGAAGATCTAATGATAAATTTCTATCCTCAGCGGGGAATTCATGCTCAAGGTATGATTCTCCCTTATTCCTGCTATAAATCCCACTGCCTGACGTTAAATGTGCCTGCCTGTCGGTTCTTACTGATAGGGGTGGTAGTATGAATAAATGGTTCATAATTGATTTTGACTTAATAGATGGTGGATGAAATTTATCCAATCCATTTAGATTCATTTAATAAATGGATGTAAATGGATGGATCTAAATGGATTAAATAAAAACCAATTATCCATTTAAATAATTCTATCAAAACCAAAGCAGTATCAAAATAAGCATGGTGAACACAAATTCCTACAAATCACTTGCTCACTAAAGTGCAAGTTAGATAGCTTCAGAATTCTGTTTTAAGAGTATTCTTCTTGATACTCTTGAGATCACACTGAACACAACTAAAGAGCCAACCACTTAAAAAGGATTTACATATTTACACAGGAGCCCAAAAAAAAACACAAAACATAATTTCAAGCAAATAGGAGTCTAGCTCAAACACAAATTCCCAATCCCAAAGCCACTGGAAAAAATGATGATAGCCATGCAAGATATTAAATATTTCTCACTAGCTATTGCGTCTAAATAGAGTTGGCAAATATTCAACAGACAGGACGAGAAGGCGTCTGTAGTAACCACGAGTCTATGCACTGAACATGGAAGCTGTGGTTGCAAATGGGCAGCAATTTGCAAACTTCACCTATCTTGAAGCCCTCCAAGCACACAGCACATTCCTTGTGGGGATTTTCTTCCTTGTACTGGAAGATGAGTATTTATAGAAATGTCACATGCATATTAGCTATTTGTGAGAATGACTGTTTGAAAGATGAGTTTTATAGTTGGGTTCTCTGCCTAGGATTGAGTTGAAAAACATGCAACAAGAAATATATGGTTTTTAGTCATTTCCTTTCCATTTCTTTTATTTGGTTTTTAAGTAAATGGATATATATGGTTTTTATGGATAATCCACATAAATCCATTTAATTTAATGGTTTTATTTTGGTCAACAATTTAAAACCAATAGTATAAATGGATAATCCAAATCCATTTAATTATGGATTATATGGATGGATAAATGGATCTCAATCCAAATTGCCACCTCTACTTACTGATGCTTGTACACTTGTGCCATCAGACTGATCAAGGAAAGAGGAAACAAGCCTATGATTTTGATGTGAGGAATTATTGGAGCTTTAGAAAGCTACTTTTTGCCGTTTGAAGATTGTGGCTGCATGATATAGCCCTAATTATCAAGCAATTTTCTTATTTATATTTATGATTTAATATACTGATTTTGGGGTGGGGGTGGAGGAAAGGATGTTTTGCATTTGTGGTGTTTGTTGGGCCAATGGTGGTCTTTTGTTTTAGTGGGTTCTGAGGAAAATAAAACTTGAACTTTTTATGCTGTAAGTTAAAAGTAAAATAGGTAAACTTTACGTGATTTGATTAGTCCAAAGCAATATTTTCATTTTACTAATGAAACTAATCGGATTATGTCTCAACATAATTTTCATCTACATAATAAATAAAGGGATCATGGCCGTAATAAAAGGATTTTTCTAGCGAATGTCTAATAAGCATTTGTTAATTTACCTAAATCACATCCGACTTACTAATACAAATGCTATCAATTATTACCATGTAATGAACAAGCACAAGGTTACCATGTAATTATTACCAAGGTTAACCACTACAAGAAAAAAGGTCATTAGTGACAACATTTCCTAGTGATGACAAAAAGTCGTCACAAAATGAGGTTGTTTAGTCAGGACATTGAAGGTTGTCACAATTGACTCAAAGCAACTAAGTTTTCAGTGACAACCCTTAATTGTCGTCACAAAACTACTTCGCGCCATGGACTTGGAAGGCGTGAGTTTTGCGATAGTGACAACTTGACAAAAGTCGTCAATAATTCTATCTCTTTCTCGGACAACTTTTCATTTTTATCACTGTTTATATTTACTGATGACCAATTTTTGTCAGTAAAACTATAGCGTAGTTAGTGACAACAAAGTATCATCACTAACTTGAACATCTCCAATTCAATTATTTAAATGTGAGCCTCAATATTAATTTGGTGATTTATTAAACTAGTCATAGTTACTCAAATTATAATAGGTCTTTAACTAGAAAAAATTAATGAAAGTTTCTAGTGATAACAACTATATAAACTATTACAACTTGAGAAAGAGTATATTTATGAGTTGTTTGAATTTAGCAAAAAATTTTCATCCATTATAATTTTTAATAAATATGTTAAGAAGTAGTGATTAGAAATATATTAGTAAATTTAAATAAAAATTGAAGCTAAAAGTTGACTTGGATTGTCTTGATTCATTAGTACCAAAAATTTGTTCAAACTAAAAGTGAAAAAAATGGCGCGGGTACTATACACTAAGAAAAGAAACCACTCTTACTCCCCACATCCAGACTTCTATACTCCTCACACTCTCAATCCCTCAGTCAAAGCCTTTATTCTCAACCCCCTTTATTCATTTCCCAAAACCCAAGCAGTAGCTTGCAGCTGTTGCTGTCGTCAAAGATGCAGATCTTCGTGAAAATCCTGACGGGGAAGACCATCACCCTTCAGGTGGAGTCTTGCAACACCATCGACAATGTCAAGGCCAAAATCCAGGACAAATAAGGCATCCTTCCGGACCAACAGCGCCTAATCTTCGTCGGCAAGTAGTTGGAGGATGGTCATATCCTAGCCGACTACAACATCTAGAAGGAGCCAAAAGGAGTCCACGATCCACCTCATCCTCCGTCTCCATGGTGGCTCCAAGAAGCGCAAGAAGAAGACCTACACCAAGCCCAAGAAGAAGAAGGTCATGCTTGCCGTCATCTTGTTCTACAAGGTCGATGACTTCGGAAGGGTCCAGAGGCTCGAGAAGGAGTGCCGTAATGCTGAGTGTGGCGCTGGCACTATTGCGGCAAGTGTGGCCTAACCTATGTTTACCAAGAGGCCGACGGTGATTGAGGGAAATTCTCTCCCCTTTTTTTATAAACTTTATTGTTACTAGTCTAATTGAACATTAGCAGCATGTTCTTATTTTGAAGATTTTGTTTTTTATTGGTTTTGATATAAAAAAAAAACACTCTCAATCCCTCAGTTCGTACTTTCTAAAGAAAAAAGAAAACAAACACTCTTTTTCACAAACTCTGGACTAATTGTGCATTCAACGCTGAAAGGGATTGATGTGCTCTCCACCAACTCTCAGGTAGGTCCTCTCATGTCTCTCCCTATTTCCGTAATTTTTTCCCCAATTAATTTGCCCTAAATTTTTTCCGCAAATATTTTTTTGCATCTCCTTCTGGTAGTTTGAGTCATGGATTTAATCATCTCCTTCTGGTAGAACTATTTGATCTATAGTTGCAATTGCTTAAGTTACTTTTGTACAACCATGGGATGTAGACTTGATCACCCAATTCCATATGTGATTCACAGTGACAAGATTCAATGGGTTTATATGCGGGTGCAGTTTTGGGTTGGGACTAGGTGGGGCAAAAGCTGATGCCTAACTGGATGGTGGTGGAGGAAGTGGAAGAGAGCAAGGAGGTGATTATGATATGATGTTGCTATGAGTGGCTGCAGGTGAGAGAAATAGTGGGTTAAGTGGTACTAGGTGGAGTGGGAACTGGGGAGTCATTAGTTGATTATCTATGTGGCTGAGCGAAGAGATAATACATTAAAGTTTAATCTTCAAAATTTCCAGAAAGCTTCAAATTTTGCTTGAAACCAAGCTAAACTAGAACAACCCATTAAAGCACCTACAAAAAACGATTCTTGAAAGGGGTTCTTCGAAATTATTTGGTTTTTTTTAATCAAAAATCAAAGCACGAACTACTGGCTCTCAATTAACAAGCTTTATTAATTAGTAATAGTACTAATAATTATATTTATATATATGGTATACATGCTGTTACAATTATTTAATGAAATGGCATAGAAAAGATTTGAGAGGTGGGAGGTGTGATTGGATGAATTTTGTGGTCTGTTGGAAGCTTTGGTCTTTGCTGGTAGACCAAATATATAGGCTGGTAGACCAAATATATGTCTACTGAACTTGTTTTATGGTCGTGTTGTCATTGTTCTTGGTCATACATTTCCTCTTAACAGTTTGGTAGTCAATGCCCT